GTGTCCTTTGACCCCTCACATCCTGAACCTTCCTGCAGTGAAATAGGTTGAAGGGCACTCTGCTCCCTCCTGAGCCCGCCTCCTGCCTCCTCCCACCTGAAACCACACCCACCGAGCATCAGGGCTCTGCTCCTTTTGGTGTGGTCTGGCATGCTGGGATGCCTCTTGGCTTGGATTTATTGAGCTATTTTGATAAAGTCCTGCAGGCCTGTGCTGAGGGTGCCAAGTAGTGGAGTGCATGCTTAGAATTCGTAAAGTCCTGGGTTTCATCCTCAACACCGCAACTAAAAGGAAAAAAATTCTATCAGGTCTTTCCAATCTCCAGAAACTTCCCAGGACTAGCTCCTCCACTTTCCTGCCTCCTAAGGCGCCCTTCGGGGACCTGTGGCTAGCTAGCCCTGGGATGTCTGGCTTTTCTCTGGTCTCCACGCACCATCTCCTCTTTGCTTCTTGTTGGTCCTGGGAAGAGGAGAAATTTCTAGACTTCAGCCCACCACTTGCCCTTCCCAAAGCCCAGGGCACATCATCTTTGATTTGCCCATTTCAGGGCACAAGAACTACCTCATGATCAAGGAGAAACTTTTGTTCATGGTACATGCCGGCAATCCCAGGGTTTTGGAGACTGAGGCAGCAGGGCCACATAATTGAAGCCATCCTGAACTACAAAACAAGACTCTGTCCCCCAAACCAAACAAGCTAGGTGTAGTGGTTCGTTCCTGTAATTAAGCATGGAGGAGGCTGAGGCTAGAGGATTTCTGTGGGTGGCCAGCCTGGGCTATATATATATATACATATACATATACATACATACAGTTTCAGGACAGCCTACGCTACAGAGTAAGACTCGTTCTCAAAAAAGCAAACAAAACAACAACAGCAAGACAAAACTGGGCCCGGTAGTGCATGCCTGTAACCCAAACTCTCGGAAACGCCAGAAGAATCAGAAAACCAAAACCATTCTCCGCCATAGAGTGAGTGAGTTAGCCTGAGGCCGAGCTGGGTTACCTGAGGTCCCCGTCTCAGACAGACAAACCGGACATGGTGGCACCCCCCTGTAGTGCCAGCACTAGGAAGGCTGAGGCAGGAGGATTACCTCAAGTTTGAGGCCAACCTGGACAACAGTAACAACAAAGAAATCGAGGGGCAATTGGCAGACAGCTGCAGAGTCCGGCAGAAAAGGAGCTAAGACTGTTCCCAACCCTGGACAGAGGACTCTCTTGGTCTTGGGAACTTACCACAGAGCCTTCCTTCACTACGCTTTGGCCCCAGATTCCAGGGCCCAGAGAATGGTGTCTACTTTTTTCGGATACCCTCCACCTTCAAACAGGAGTGCCCAGGCTTTGATGCAACCCCCCACACAAGCCCATTAGCTAGGTTTCTCAGCAGGGTACAAGATCTCAAGCAGCCCCTGCCTCCCCTCTGGAAGCTAAATCTACCCTGACATCTAATCTCAGCCTGTTGGTAGCTGGGAGATGCAATGCAAAGCTTGCTCCCAGGGAAGAAGGCTGTCCAGATGACCAAGTGATGGCTGAGTAGGCGGCCTGGGTTTCCAGGAGGCAGAAGGGAGCAGTCTTTCCAGTCCGGTGACCTCTCATCCCACAGGGGCACTTAACTGCATACTGCATCTTCCACTGAGGCCACCAGAGCAATAAAGTGACCTAGGTCAGCCCCCGGAGCTAGGGCAGGACACGAGCTTGCTAGGTTAAGGGTTCCAAGAACCAGTATGTTGAAGAAGGAAAGGTTCAACGAAGAGGCCTTCCGGGGCTGTCAAAATGGAGTCCGAACCCTGTGGCCAGAGCCAGGCTCTAAGGACTTGTGGAAAGGCAAGGAAAGCTTTTCAAGGGTTTTTGGACAGAGGGGGAGACAGCCCCGAACCCCAAGAAACTTCACTATGGTGAAAGGATGTGGTCCTTTGTCATGGCTCCGTCTAGAGAGCCTTCAGACCCATAAGGGACAGAAGGCCCTGTGTCAGAGCTCAGAAGTGACCTCAGAGGGCCCCACGAAGATAAGGGAGGCAAGAGAAGGACAAGCTTTGGCATTTGAGGAGGGGCTCGGGTCTAAAAACAAACAAATTGTCTTTCTTTTCAAGACAGTGTTTCCCTGTGTAACCCTGGCTGTCCTAGAACTCACTCTGTAGACCAGGCTGGCCTCTGCCTCCCAAGTGCTGGGATTAAAGGTGTGCACTACCACACCTGGCTTTTTACAACTTTATTTATTTATTTATTTATTTATTTATTTATTTATTTATTTATTTATTTATTTATTTAGTTTTTCCAGACAGGGTCTCCCTGTGTAGCCCTGGCTGTCCTGGAACTCGCTCTGTAGACAAGGCTGGCCTCGAACTCACAGAGATCTGCCTGCCTCTGTCTCCTGAGTGCTGGGATTAAAGGCGTGTGCCACTACTGCCTGGCTCATTATTTATTTTGAAGATTTGATGGTTATGAGTGTTTCGTCTGTCTGTCTGTATGTATGTGTACTATGTGTATGGGGTGGGCCACAGAAGATGGCACCAGATCCCCTGGAACTGGAGTTATGGATGGCTGTGAGCTGCCATGTGGGTGCTGGGAACCAAACCTGCGTTCTCTACAGAAAGAACAAGAGCTATCCAGCTCCTTGATATTTCTTTTCATGGATGGATTAAAATTGATTGAGTCAGGGTCTTGTTATGTACCATTTGCTGTCTTCAGACTGGCATTCTCTTCTTGCCTTTGCCTACCAGATGCCAAGATTATCAACATGCACCACTATGCCCAGCCTTTTTTATTTTATTATTATTATTATTGTTGTTGTTATTTTTGGTTTTTCATGACAGGATTTCTCTGTGTAGCCCTGGCTGTCCTGGAACTGGTTCTGTAGACCAGGCTGGCCTCCAAACTCAGCTGGGACTAATGACTTGCACCACCACTGCCCAGCCCTTTTTATTTTTTGAAATGGTTTTATTGTATAGTCCAGACTGACCCCAAATTCTCAGCGACCCTCTTTCCTCAGCCTCCTGAGTACAGGCATACTTCACCATGATTGGCTCATAAATCTTTACAGGGCGCTAGGGACGTAACAGCTAGGAGCATGCTTGCCTAGCATGTACAAAGCCCTGGGTTCGATCCCCAGCACTGCACAATCTCAGCATTTACGAGGCAGAGGGAAGAAGACCAGAGGTTCAAGGACATCAGCTACCTATCAAATGAGACCAACTTGGGCTATGTGCCTAAAAAAAAATCTGTGGAGGGAGTTAGATCTTTCTGGAGACTCCAATACATAATTGTGCCCTGTGATCCAATGTCATCCCACCCCAAGTAGGAAACCATGTGACTGTAAACTCCAGGTTCACCAGAATTACTAGGAGTTCTGAAGACACCCACCCTGGGTAGCATCATTTCTGCAGTGTCATCATGACCAATTAATATCTGCTGTGATGAGTTAGCTGCTCTCGCTATGACCTTGAAGCACCCCTCCTAGTGAGACAGCAGCTAACTGCTACATCTGCCTATGACCTTGAAGTACGTGTCCCTTGGGCGTGGCCGCTTGGGACCCTTAAGAACTGGGATGCTCAGATGCGGCTCTCACTCCTTCGTGGTTTGGACGCTGAGACGGACCAGGCAGATCTCAGACTAGACAAATCAGCGTGGGACATAGCTGGCCTTTCCAGGACCCTACGACAAATCTTCAGTGCTGTAGTGAGTTAACCCCTAACAAATCCCTTTGCTCATTAAGTAGGCTCCTTGGATTTCTCGCATTCATCCATATCTGGGATTCAGACTACCATGGTCTCTTCTGTTCCCCCAGAAGTCACCTATGGCTTTGCGGGGATGCCCCCTCCATCAGAGAGTGCCACTTCAGTTGACCCTCACCGAGGTAACCCTTTCTACCCACAGCACCCAGCAGGAAGTAGGGCAGAGAACAGTGGGCCCTGTGCCCAGAAAAGAAGAGGGGAGAGGAAATGGGGTGCTCCAACGACCCTGCCCACCAAGCAGGTTCCAGATAGGGCTGGAGATACCCAAATGTTAATCACCTATTAGCACAGCCCAGGTGGAAAGGAAAATGTCATTAGGTGTACAATGGGCTTCTCTGGGCAGGGGCAGTGGGCTTGAGTGCCCGAGATAAGAGGCTTTCAGGCTAATCAGCGGCACTAAGGTGCCTGGATATAAAGAGGCTAAGAGAGGGTCTTGAAGCAGGATCCTGAGAGCCAACAGAGAAGAGGAAGGGACCCTATCCTGCCCTCTGGAAGAGCTAGAAGAGCAGTGGGGTAAGAGAGAGCCTGGGATATTGATGGGCTGACCTGGGAGGAAGTGGGTCTCCTGGCTCCTTACTGTCTCCTTGTCCATACATGAATCCAGGAGACAGTTCAAAGGGATTCCTAGGAAGACCAGATCTTGTAGCCTTAGGCTAGATCTGGCTTTCAGGGATCTGGAGGAAGGTTTCTTGCTCTGCTATCTCTCCAGAAGACTGAAAGGGGTCCAGACCCCAGAAAAAGTTCAGATGAAACTTTAGGAAGAACTTCTGAGTTGTGATAGTTAAGTTCAAGCGTGTGTGTGTGTGTGTGTGTGTGTGTGTGTGTGTGTGTGTGTGTGTGTGTACAGGATGGTTCTCTGTGTGGTTTTCATTTAGGGGAGGGATATGATGGCTGAGTAACAACTTAGATGGAAGCGGGAAGGTAGGCTGCTGTGAACTTCGTTAGGGCTTTAAAGGGATAATCTTGCCAAATCCTATCCCTGTGATGTCTGGTAATGAGCCAAGAAGGGAGTTCCCACCACCTAGGCCTTTGCTACTTTCTTCCCAGACCTTCCATCCCACCCTACTCAGAATCCACAAAGCAGGATCAGCTCTGGGTCAAGGCCCCATGTCCCTTCCAGTCACTTCATGTAACCCCACTTGTTCCTGCCCCGCCCCAGCTCTCAGCACTCACCCAAGTCCCTGCATCAAGGGGTCTCTTAGATCCCGGCCCCCTCAGAGCGGTAACGGCGGCCCTTTTTCTTTTCAGCTCGGGCACACAACCTGAGAAGATGGTGGCTATGAAGACCTGCTCTCTGCTGCTGGTGCTCCTCTTCCTGGCGGTCGGGCTGGGAGAAAAAGAAGAGGTTCAGTTCAGGTAGGAGTGGGAGGAGGAGGGGGGCTGGAATATAAACTGGTTTGGGCCAGGGGCGGTGAGGAAGGGAGGGGATCCAGCCTGAGAGGAGGGAGGTTAAGGAGGAGAGCCAGCCTGCAGCCCCAGCATGCAGTGAGGAGAGAACTGGAGAGTTATTTATTAAGAGTTCCCGTTGCAGTGAGAAAGACGGGGGTTAGCTAGGTCTGTGGAAGGACTTTTTGGTGGCAGAGTCTGTAATGTTGGGTCTCCCTTGTGAAAACTAATGTCGGTCATGCCTGCATACATTCACTCAGATCTCACAGGAGCTTCCTGTGCACCAGACCCAGGTCAGAATACATGTGAACAAAGGTCCACTGATGGCTCCTGCCTTCAGTGAGCACATGGACCAAGGCAGACACAGAAAAGAACCACATAAACATGTCACAGAGTGCAGTGGACCAAAGCAGAGACAGTGACAGGTTAGGGCTGAGCGTGGCAGGTCAGTTCTATAACTCCAGCCCTTGGCAGGCAGAGGCAGGGGGATTGAAAGTGTGAGGCTAGCCTGGGCTACATAACAAGACCAGAGTCTGGAGGGAGATAAAGAGAAAGAAAAGGAGGAAGAGAAAAAGGAGGAGGAGGAGGAGATGAGGGTGAATATAGCCAGGGCTCTGATAGTGTGTTTGATGACTGAGGCAGAGGCTTGTCAAAGTAGGACTGGTTTCTCTCAGTTGCAAGGATGGTCCATGTACCATACAGAGTTGGCACATGTAAAGTGGGAGGAAAAGCTGTCAGTAATAATTACAAGGAGGGCAGATCTTGTGTTTGATAAGAAAAAGACTCGGGATGAGCAGTAGTGGTACACGACTTTAATCCCGGTACTCGGGAGGCTGAGGCAGGCAGATCTCTGAGTTCGAGGTCAGCCTGGTGTACAGAGTGAGTTCCAGGACAGCCAGGGCTACACAGAGAAACCCTGTCTCAACAATCAAACAAACAAAACAAACAACAACAAAGTCCAGGAATGGTACACATATCTTTATTTCCGGTACTCTGGAGACAGAGGAAAGGGTAAGTTCCAGGTCAGCCAGGGCTACAGAGGGAAACTGGTGGTTTGTCCAGACGGGGTCTCTCTGTGTAGCCCTGGCTGTCCTGAGTCTCACTCGGTAGACCAGGCTGGCCTCGAACTCAGAGATCCAGCCTGCCTCTGCCTCCCAAGTGCTGGGATTAAAGGTGTGTGCCACCACGAGGCTAAGAGTGGTAAAACTCTTTTCTCTTTTCTCTCTCTCTTTTTTTTTTAATTTTCATTTATGTGCATTGGTGTTTTGTCTTTATGTACGTCTGTGTGAGGGTGTCGGGTCCCCTGGAACTGCAGTTACAGACAGCTGTGAGCTGCCATGTGGGTGCTGGGAATTGACCCCTGGACCTCTGGAAGAGCAGCCAGTGCTCTTAACCGCTGAGCCATCTCTCCAGCCCAAGAGTGGTACAACTCTTACCTGGCATGTGCAAGGTCCTGGATTTGATCCCAGCACCACAAAGAAGGAGAGAGGAGGGCTGGAGAGGTGGCTCAGTGGTTCAGAGCACTGGTTGTTCTTCCAGAGGACCAGAGTTCAATTCCCAGTTACCCCCATGGTAGCTCACAGTCTAACTCCAGTTCCAGGGGATCCAGCACTCCCACACAGATATACATGCAGGCAAAACACTAATGTACAAAAAATAAAAGTCAGTTTTAAAAAGGATTAAAAAAAAAAAAGATCTGGGAGGCGGTGGTGCACACCTTTAATCCCAGCACTCATGAGGCAGAGCCAGGCGGATCTGTGAGTTCGAGGCCAGCCTGGTCTACAGAGTGAGCTCCAGGACAGACTCCAAAACTTGCTCTGATCCACCTGCCTCTGCCCCCTGAGCGCTAGGATTAAAGGCATGCGTCACCACCCCCCAGCTTTCTTTTTCTTTCTTTTTTTCTTCCTTCCTTCCTTCCTTCCTTTCTGTCTGTCTTTCCTTCTTTCTGTATCTATTTGTTTGTTTGTTTATTTATTTATTTTGAGACATGGTCTTTCTATGAAGCTCTGGATGTCCTGGAACTCACTGTGTAGACCAGGCTAGCCTTGAACTTATAGAGATCTATCTGCCTCTGCCTCTTGAGTGCTGACTATTATTATTTCATTTTTACTATTATAGAGATGGTCTCTTGCTACACAGCATAGGCTGGCTTTGAACTTTCAGTGATCCTCCTGCCTCTACCTTCCAAGTCCTGAGATTACAGCTCTCACAACCAGCTGAATTCACTTTGTTACTATGAACCAAAGGACTTAATCAAGCAATATGGTCTTCCCAACCTTTGTCCCTTCACTGGTATCCTGGTTTCTATCTCTTACCTCTCAGATCCCATGGTAAATTTGGTAGCCCCGGGCCTCGGGACCGGAGGTATGCAGAGGGGACTATCATCAGCGATTACAGAATTATCCTGGACAAGATCCGCCAACAAGAGTTTGTGAACTGGCTGCTGGCCCAGAAGGGGAAGAAGAATGAGTAAGGGACTCCCTACCCCCCTCCTGTCCCCATGCCGAACTCTGCTGTGCTTACACCACCTCCTAGGAGACCATATGGGCTGTGAGGTGCTCAACTCCACAGTCGCCTTTCAGTCAGTGAGGATGAGGAAGTGGCCAGGGCCCTGAGACTCTGGGCAATAGAGCAGTCTGGTGCAGGATGAGGTGTTCTCCCAGCCTTTATTTCTAAGGGGAGGAGCCAGAGAAAAGCATGGAAGCCCCAGGGGACTCCAGAGGTCTGGGGATGAAGGCAGGAGGAGCTGGGTTGCCTGTTTGCTGGTGGCTACTTTGGACTCTGGGAATAAACCACTACTGTGTCTCTCCCAACCTACGCCAAATCTCGTGCTGCTGTTTCGTCAGTGATGGAGGCAACTGACTACAGGCGGAGGTGGAGGTGGGGTGTTAGGCTGTAGAGTAGAGGAAGAGGCGCCATTGCTCCTGCTGGGTATTAAAGATCCCAGCGTCCCCGGGTGGGGGAACTTCAATTGTTCCCTCCAGCAGATTCACACCCAAATCCTCTTCATCTCACCAGCTGGAAACACAACATCACCCAGAGAGACGCCCAAGGCTTGAAGCTGGCAGGACAATCTCAAAGAGATGAGGAGACAGAGGGACAGCAGAGGTGAGTCCACCATGAGGGGAATCAGGCTCCAGCCCCCAGGCTTGGCTGCACCCTGTAGCAGTCTTTCTTCGGGCCGCCAACCAGCTCCCAAATCATGACACAGGACGTAATATTAGTTAAGAATGCTCGGTCTTAGTTTAGGCTTGTCCCACCAGTTCTTATAACGTACCCTGTTTCTCTTCTCTTCATCTACATTTTGCCTTGGGGCTTTCGTGCTGTATGTCCTACTCTGTGTCTGGCTACCTGGTGACTGGCTGGCTGGCCCCAGGCACCTCTTCCTCTCTCTTATCTTCTCCCTTTTCTTCTGAGGCTAGCTTTTGGCCGGTCAGCTTTTTTTTTTTTTTTTAAGACGGTTGTGAGCCACCATGTGGTTACTGGGAATTGAACTCAGGACCTCTGGAAGAGCAGCCAGTGCTCTTAACCATCTCTCCAGCCCCTGTTCAGCTTTTCATTAGACCAGTCAGGTGCCTTAGGCAGGCAAGGTGAAACAGCAACACATCTTTACATAATTAAACAAATGCAGCATCAACAAATGTAACACCCTTTATACAGTGAAAGTAATATTCCACAACAGCTCCCTCTCAGATTGCAGAGGAGGGCAGGGACCCCACAATAAGCACCCCCCCTTCTCTAAGAGCTCAAAGGGGGGGGGGCTCAAAGAAGTGGAGTCCTGGAGGACCCCTGAGGGCTTTCTAAGATCTGTGACTGAATATATACATGGATTCCACTGTACCAAGGGGAGCAGGGAATGAGGGGCCTCAGGGTTGGCTTCTCCCTCACAAACCTCAGGAAGTCTGTTTGGGAGACCAGGGCATTCCCCCAAAGCCAGACCCCTGGAATCAGCCACTCACTCTGAGGAACTGATGAATGTGAGGCTTAGGGATGTTCTCTCTGGGGTCACTGGGACGCATTCTCAGATGCTTTCAGAGGTGAGTGGATAAGTTTACATCACTGAAAAACCGTTTTGCCTGGACTGAGGATCCTGTATTCTCTGGGTCAGCAGAACTAGGTAGGGCCCAGTACAAAAGAGGCAGGAGATCTGAGGGTGGAGATAGCCCAGAGGCAAGGCAACTGGCTGTGTTGGCTCCTTAGCACAAGCTTTAATCCCAGCTCTCCAGGCAGAGGCAGCCCAACTTGGTTTCCCTAGCGAGTTCTGGAATAGTCAGCCAGTCAGGGCTACAGAATGAGACCGTGTCCGAAAACAAAACACCCAGACCCCTGCCGTCTGTCTCCCTTGCAGCTCCTTGCCCAAGAACTCCAGTGACGTAGATGTGCCGAAGGACTTGCTGTTTCAAGAGCTGCTGGCCTGGGTGGTGGACCAAATAGAGCTCTGCCAGCTCAGGTGGGGAGCATGAGAGGTGTGGGGGTGTTGCAAGGTTGTTAGTTAGAAGTTTAGGCTTCCAGGTGACAAACACATTCAGATTTGTGTGTGTTTGTATCTCGCTGTCTGTGTGCCCATGTATGTCTTGTTGGGTACTAAACCCAGGGCTTTGCAATTGCTAAGCAGATGCTCTACCACTGAGCCCATCCCCAATCCTGCTTGCTTATTTGCTTAGCTCAGGTTGGTCCAGAGCACCTTGTGTAGTCTAGGTTGGTCTCAAACTCATGATCCTCCTGTTTCCCCAGTACTGGAATTATAGGTGTGTGACATGACATGCACTGTTATCCTTAGACCTCGTTCAGATCTTCGTCCTAATACACACTGGCAAAGTACTTCCTTACCCTTTCAGAACCTCAGAGTAGTTTAAATCAGAGCTATAATGGGGGGTGGGGGGAGTGTCTCACACCTGTCACCTAGCACTTGGAAAGCCTGGTCTACAGAGTGAGCTCCAGGACAGTCAGGACTATTACACAGAGAAACCTTGTTTCAGGAACAAAACAAACACCCCAAAAACTTGGCAGGCAGAGGCGGATGGATCTCTGTGAGTTCAAGGGAGTTCTTTGCTAGCACTCCCATCCAAAACAAAAAAAAAGCTAGGGTTGGGGTGGGGAGGTGGCTCAAGGGTAAAAACCTTTGTGAAACCTAGAGATTTTGGTCTCTGGGACCCCCATGATGGAAGGAGAGGACTGAACCCTGCAGTGTGTTCTTGACCCTCTGTGGCATGCACGCTCATGTGCACACACAATAAATCAACGTAATAAAACAGAGCAGAGAGGTCAAGCAAACGAAGAGGGAGAGCCACGTATTTGAGGGCCGAGCAGTATTGCCGCTACCCTTACTTCCAAGACGTTCTCCTCAGCTTCCTCTGTCTGCCCCCTCTGTTCTCAGCTCGCTTTCCCTCCTGACCTTTGGGTTCTGGCACCTTCTCAGGGATAGGAACCCATATTTATTGGTGCCATATTGCCCTGCTCCATAATCATGGTTCGTCCCAATGGCCGTCAGCTAGGTTCTATTCCAGAGCGAGGGCCTCCAATCACGAACCTCATGGTGATAGAGGACCTTGATCCAACACACCAAAACTAAAACACACCCAGACTTTAATAATGGGAGCTGGAGAGGGAGGGAGGGAGCAAGTCTGGGTGCCCTCCAGAGGGTAAAAAGGGAGAGAGGGCTCAGCGGGGAAAGTGCTTTTGAGCAAACATGAGGACCTCAGTTCGATTCCCTGCTCTTAAGAGAAAGCCAGGACCACAGCACGCCTTTAACCCCAGTGTTGAGGCGAATCCAGGCAGAGCACTGGGCATGGCCAACTGGTCGAGCTGATCAGTGAGCTCCAGGTTCACCAAGAGAGCCTTCCTTAAAAAATAAAGTGGGAGCCGGGGGTGAGGGGGGGGAGGCGGTGGTGGCGCACGCCTTTGATCCCAGAACTAGGAGGCAGAGGCAGGTGGATCTCTGTGAGTTCGAGGCCAGCCTGGTCTACAGAGTGAGTTCTAAGACAGCTAGAGAAAATAGCAAAACCTCATCTTCAAACAGTAAGGTGGACAGAGGCCGGAGAGACGGCTGCTGAGTGGTTAAGCACTTGCTGTTCTTCCAGAGAACGTGTGTTGTGTTCCCAGCACCTACATGATGGTTAACAGCCATCCATTAACTCTAGTTCCAGAGGATTCTTCTCCAGTCTCCACAGGCACTGTGTCCACATTGCGCACACACATACATGCAGGCTAAACACCCAAACACATAAAAGGAAATAAATCTTTTTTAAAAAAATTAAGGTGGACAGCAACCTCTGGCCTGCACATATATGCATGTGCACACACATGCACAGATACATGGGTACACATGAACATGTACACATACAACACACACACAAATATGGAATGTGATCAAGCCAGTGGAGTTGAGAAATCTCTGTAGGAAGGTGAGGAACTGTCTCTGTATTTTGTGAATGATTTTGAATACTGATAAATCATTTAAAAAGGTCATTTGAACCTGGGAGATGGTGTCAAATGCCTTTAATCTCAGCACTAAGTAGGTAGAGGCAAGCGGATCTCTGTGAGTTCAGGCTGGCCTGCTCTACAAAGCATGTTCTAGGACAGCCAGGGCTACACAGAAAAACCCTGTCTCGAAAAAACAAAAGAAAACAAACAAAAGGTTATTTGCAGGTAGGAGTGGTTTATCTATGCCTGGGTGCCAGGATAAATTTGCTGAGCTGACTCTAAGTTGGTAACCAACCCCTCTTTTCTTGCCTCCCCTCTTCCAGGTCTCAGTGACTGACCTAGCCCAGAGTGGACTCTGCCCTTTGCTTGCTCAGCTCCTGCTTCCGCCCTGGTCCAAAGTCTCCGAGAGAACCAAACAATAAAGTCTTGAGCTGAAGTAAATCCTTGTGTCCACTGTGAAAACTCATTCAAATGTCAGCTGAGCACTCACAGGGCATGGCTGGGTGTGTCCATGCCTCCCAAGGAAAAAGGACACATCCAGTTATTCCTCTGCGCATCCTCCAAGCATACTGGAAACTGTATCATCACACAGGCAGGAGGGGTTCTGTCAGAATCACTGTGTAAGCAAACAGACTTTACAATGGCAGACCTTCATGCTAACCGAGCATGACGTTACAAGCCTGCAAAACCAGTGCTGAAGAGGGTAAGGTAGACGATCTGGAGCCTACAGGAGACTGTCTTAACATCTCAAGAGCAAGCAAGCAAACACAAAAAAGGAAGGGTCTTCTTCAATACACGGGCCTCCCAAGTGGCTGGAACAAACATGCCAGCAGTCCTTCATCTTTAAACACACAAGCACATTACTAATCACACAGTGTGCTGAGTCATGTGGAGAAAGACAGAAAAGTCCTTTCTAGATGTCATGGGGTGAGAAAACAGCCCTTCAGCTGAGGCTGGGAGGGCCAAACAGTGAGCCGGTGAGCTGCAGAGAGCACTCAGTGGTAAGAACAGGAGGGCCAGAGTTTGGTTCCCAGAACCCTCATCCAGTGGCTCGCAATGGCCTGGAACTCGTGCTCCAGGAGATCCAACATACTCTTCTGGTCTGAGAGAGTAAGCACACTCCCTGCACATACCCCTGCACAGACACACATACACACACATAAATTAAAAAAACAAAAACTAAGTGCAGATGAATTGCTAAACAGTCTTATTAAAAAAAAACAACAAACAAACAAACAAACAAACAAAAACCCTGGAGCCAGGTATTGGGGTGAATTCTGAAAGATCAGAGAAGCAGAACCAAGCCACAGCTACCTCACCTTGCCAGCTTCTCAGCCAATCCTGTTTCCTCAGACTGGAAGCCTCTGAGTCCTCATCTGAATGGATCTCAGCTGAACTGCTGCTAAAAGCTAAAAGCTTAAAAAGCCTCTAGTTCCTGGTCCTCACACCTTATAGACCTTTCTGCTTTCTGCCATCACTTCCTGGGATTAAAGGCGTGCGTCTTTCCCAAGCAAGACATGAGATCTCAAGTGCTGGGATTAAAGGTGGGTGTCACCATGTCTGGCTGTTTCCAGTGTGGCCTTGAACCCATCCGGATCTCTGCCTCCAGAATGCTAGGATTAAAGGCATGTGCTACCACTGCCTAACCTCTGTTTAATATGGTGGCTTTTCTGTTCTCTGACCCCCAGATAAGTTTATTGGGGGTGCACAACATATCAACCGAAACTAAGTCAATAAATGGGAAGAACAATGGGGAGCACACACACACACACACACACACACACACACACACACACACACACACGAGCGGAGGTCTGACAGGATTCAGGCCTCAGAGGGATGGCTCATCCTGAACTACGGCACCAGAGAAGATGAGAAGATTGCTGCAAGCTTGAGGCAGCCTGGACTGTAGTGAGAGGGTGACGTAGTGGGACCTTGTCTCAATAGAATAAAATGTTGGGTGTGGTGGCCCACATCGTTAATCCTAGCACTCTGGAGGCAGAGGCAGGTGGATCTCTTAGAGTATGAAAATCAGTCTGATTTACATAGTAAGTTCAAGACCAGCAAGGGCTACACAGTTGGACTCAAAAAAGAAATTTAGCCTAGAGTGGTGGTGCATGCCGTTAATCCCAGCACTCAGGAGGCAGAGGCAGGCAGATCTCTGTGAGTTCAAGGCCAGCCTGATCTACAGAGCTAGTTCCTAGTTCCAGAATAGCCAGGGCTACACAAAGAAACCCTGTCTCAAACCAAAAAAAAAAAAAAAAAAAAAAAAAAAAAATATGTACTTTACAAATATAATTTGAATATAATTATTTTGAGGGGTAGTTGGACAGATGGCTCTGTGGTAATGGGGAGCACTGACTGTTCTTTCAAAGGATCTGGGGTTCCATTCCTAGCATCCACGAGACAGTTCTCAACTGTCTATAATTCCAGTCCCAAGGGATCTGATGCCCTCTCCTGGCATCTGAGAGCACTGCCCACATATGGTATACACACACAAAGGCAAAACATACATATACATAAAAATTTTAAATGTTTGAAATATTCTTAGATTTTTAAAATTATTACTGTTATTACCATTATTATTATTATTATTATTATTATTATTATTATCATCATTATTTATTATTTACTTTTTATTTTCCAAGACAGGGTTTCTCTGCTCCTTTGCTGTCCTGGAACTTGATTTGCAGACCAGGCTGTCCTTGAACTCAGGGATCTGCTTGCCTCTGCCTCCCAAGTGCTGGAATTAAAGGGGTGTGGCACCATGTCCTGCTGATTTCTAAGTTTTCATGGATTTTTGGTGATAGTTTTTTCCCTTCTAAACCTCTGCAGCTTCTGAAGTCTGTATCGTGCAATTATGGGCCCGTCTTTGCTCAGAGGGTTATTTTACTCATTCTCCCTCCCTCTCCCCTTTTGAGAAGCTAGGACTGGAACCCAGGACCTGCGCAGCACCTGATGGCTAGCTATACCTTCATCCTTATTAAGTAGTTTTTACATTTATTTATTGTGTATGTGCACACCTGTGTGTGTGTTAGCA